GGATGTTGATAATCCAGAGGACGACAGCTTGTTGAACTATAGGGATGTTGCTTGAAGGTGTCGACGTGGCTGTTATTAGAAGGGATGCCTTGATCACAAGGCATCGGAGGGCGTATGTAACGGACGGGCCCGTTCTACTTCCTTTTTCGTAACATAAACCCGGACTTTATTTGAACTATGCTTATCTATGCACTCCACTCTTATCTACGTATAAATACTTGGTCGTGCCTAGAATTACGCCAGTCTTTCTTACCTTTTCCCCCCGAATCGAGGTGTCTTCAATCCGGTCCTTGATTCGTCCTTGTGTGCCGCTACTGACTATCATCGCTAACGTCACAAAATAGCTCCGTACAAAAATATCTACAGCAACCCCGCCCCGACCCGCTCCGGCTTGCTCATTAATTGAATTCCAAGATAGAGTAACAATACAAAAATATTTATATACACCATCACGTACAAAAAATCAGAGTTCACTCAAATCGGTATGCCCCAGCTCTTTTTGATTAGATCCGCCCCGCGTTCCGCGAAAAAGTACACCGCCGCCTGCGTATGCCCCGCCGGAGGCTTCGGCTACAAACAAAAAGGCACAAATCAGCACAACGACGAAGAACAAAAAAAAAAAACACCCACCAAAACACTAGCATCGACGATCCTCACGCCCTCGACGCCTTTCAACACGAAATCGGGGTCGACGACGCCCCAGTCCGCCCCGCGTGGCGACATGCTCGCCGTACTCAGCGGATGATATATGCTAGTGATCCCGTTCCTAATATCATCATCCGTCGTGTTGGTCACCAACTCAATGATATGCCCGTCCCACGCCGGACCCTTGACAAAGTCCTGCGCCTTGGCGACAGCCTGGCGCATGACTTCGATGTCTTGCGGGTTCGAGAAGAAGGCGGGGTCGACGACGGGCGGTGAGAGGGGGTCCGTGCTGTTGATCGTCACGGAGCCACCTGGACGACGGAACGCGTCAGATTGGGGACCAAGGACGACATGTATATATATATGGAAGATACATACGAGAAAGAGGGCACAGAACAACGGTGTTGATCGCGAAATAATCGCCCGTCGGGGGGAATGGCGCGTGGTATATCCCGTTCTGGTATGAAAAGATGATAAACCATTAATTCTACCCCCCCCGAAAAAAACACGCCGAAGGCTTACAGAGAAGATAAGCTCGAAATGAGCAGTCTCGTTCCCGGCAGACGGGTCAATCGCCAACGTGCCATCGGGGACCCTCAACCACCCAAGCTGACTCGTCGGCATGCTCGACAGGAAACCAGTGCGATTGTACAGCCACTGGTCAAGGACCTCCTCCTGGTACGTCTCGTTCCGGAAGTAGACGTTCTCGAGCGTGTCCGTGTCCGTGACGAGCCAGTTGAGCACCCATCGCGGATGATCTGTGAGGTTCTTCCCCACGTCCGGGAGATGAACGGTCGACTCGATGCCGACAGTGGCGAGTTCGTCGGAGTCGCCGATGCCGGAGTGCAGCAAGATGTTCGGGGTGTTAAGGGACCCTGCTGAGAGGATGATCTCTTTCGATGGGGAGAGCGTCTGCTTGGTTACTAACGTGGGGCAACACGATCATCAGTTTACATCGAGACGATGATCAGCGGAGCGGGGGGGCACCGTACCTCCGGAATCCTGGGTAAACTCCACGAGATCAAATTTAGGAGTGTTATTGCCATTGCTCTTGGAGTGATTACTGCCAGACTGAAGGATGCGCGTAACGTGGGTGTGTATCAGGACGTGTAGGTTGGGACGGCTGATGTACTTGGCGCCGAGGTATGAAACTTCTGAGCTGCTTCTGGTGCCATTGCCGACCGTCGTCTGCATCCATCCTGAACGTTAATCTGATCAGCGCGCCATTCATCGTAATACAGAGGTGAAGGAAGAGAGAACTGACCGACACCGAGCTGGTAGCCCGAGTTCATGTCAAGGTTGAACGGAAATTCATCGGCTAGGTCTGATGTGGTCTGAATGACGCGCTGGTCTGTTCCGCGCGGGTACCCAGGCAGCGTTATAGACAGTATGCCGTCGAAACCATGCACCTCTGGGTTGAATTGACCAGTGGTATTGTGATGATCGGCGGGCTGGACAAAGCGTTCGGCCTAGATGAAACATCAGAAGCCGGCTCTCGATGTCGATGTAGAGAGCGCAGACGAACCCTGCGGATATAAGGTTGAAGGCTGTCCCAGGACCAACCCTCGTCACCCGAAATGGCAGCATAACGGTCATAGTCTTGGGAAGATCCGCGAGTATATACCATAAAGTCTAAGGATTATAATTAGAATTCTACCACGAGGATCGCGAAGAAGGAAATGATTGAACGTACTAACGGCACTACTTCCGCCTAATCCAAATCCTCGTGGGTAGGAGATCGGACGATTATTGAGCCCCGCCTGGGGAATGGTGGTATAATTCCAGTCCAACGGTGTTTGAGGGACAGCCTGCGGGCAGAAGAATGGAACTTCGGACACAAGGACATCGGCGGTGCTGAGTAAATGATAAGGACAAACAGAGGAGGAAAAGAAATGAATATTCATACGATGCGCCAGCTTCAATGACAAGAACAGATATATCCGGCTGCTCAGTAAGACGATTCGCGAGAACGTTTCCTGCAGTTCCACCTACGACAACGAGAAAGTCGATTGAAAGAGACGTAATTTCAAGGAGCGTACCGCCAATAATGATAAAATCAAAATCTGTTGTTGGTAGGTCGGAGAATTTTTCGTAGATGAGGCCGAATGCGCTGGTGATCAGTGCGAGGAGGACGAGTTGGAGACTCATGACGACTCTGCAATGAATAGAGCAGCTGAATGCGCTTGAAAGCGAAAAGACAAAGGAGCAGACGACAGCCAGTGCAATATATAATCTAACACAGCTGACTTGTGTTATATACGGGATGTAATTATAGGATTAAAGCCAATAGTGCTAAAATTAAGTTTATTAGAGGTACGTTGAATAAGGTGAGCGCGCGGACCCACATAATACTGCGAAGCCCCACAGTACGCGCTAAGCGCATCAGGAGATTTCATGTCACCATCCGACCAGAGCTAGTCACTTGCACAGGGGGAACCATCGCTATCCGTATTGAGTGATCCGGTCTGGCCGAGCCTTATGTCATAAATGTCAAGCAAGACCTGAAACATGCTCGCGAGTGGGTGAGGCAGTTGAAAGACACGCACAGGCTTCATCTTTCATCTGTTCGGTGAATACAGTGGGCGATGGCAGATGTGACACGACGGACATCTACCCCCGGAGGTTAGTCTCGCTGTCTATACGCCAAGAGCCACGCGTACCAAAGTGTCCCATCGAACCACTTCACCGGCTCCAACGAAGCGTGTATCTGCTTCAACGATGCAAGATCTCACCTTTGAAATACATCCTAACGACTCGACAGCCACCAGTGAAAGGATGAATCGTCCAGGGCACACATCAACAGTTGAACCTTAGTCATCGTTGACCGTGCCTTATACAGGGCACCATCAATAACGAAAGCTGTCTCCCCTGTGGTCGCCGCAAAAAGACCGTCCTAAGGATAGTTCAGGCTAACAGACCCCAAAAATAAGGACGGCAGCGATGACTATGACAGGTAAGCTCTGGAAATAAGGGGCCGTTGGCAATATCTTTTAATGGGGGACACGAAACGCAAATGGAGTGACATTACGATCGCTGCCACAGCACAGTGAAACGGGCTGGCGGGTGTGAAGGCGATAAATGGAAGTAAACGGTGAAAAAGAAACGGAACTCGCTCTCTCCATTGTTTCCTTGTCCTAACCGTATGGGCGTCTCGAAACTTCACAATGCTTGCGGCCAAAAGCGGGATACCATACGGCGCTGCGTTTTGTCAGGATAGTACCATAGAACAACATAGCCACTTCAGGTCCGAACATACGCGTACAACGAGAATAGTGGGGGTAATATGTGCCGGGCAGAGGTGGCGAATGGAATTTGTACGCGAATTTCTGTTGATCATTATGCACACTTGATTCGATCATCGCTAACGAGACAAACGAAAGATTCGAGGGAAGATCTGAGAGACGGAGTAGGCTCTTGCGAGGCTATACGATTCACGCGGCAGGAAGGGATATTTGAAATCGATGACGTCGTGGCACGGACCTTTTTGATGGCGAGCTCCGGCTGCTCGTGCCTGTGAATTCGAAGCTTGATCGCAACACATCGACATTGTGGCGCCGAAGCATCCCAACAACGAAAAAGTACGGCAATGGTTCCGACTCCTGCCCAAATGTTCACGTGACCCCGAAACGTACCTCCCCACTCCAACGTCGCTTAGCTCCTGTTCACGAATCCCTGTTCTCGACCCTTTCTTGATGGCTCCTGCTTTCGTCCAATTCCCAAAATATCACTTCAAACACAGTCCTTCATTATCTTTCACTCACAGGCCGCTATCATCTACCTCAGATTACTCGGCTTTTTCGCGCTCGTTGTCATTCAAGGCCAGTGCGGTACAATATAAGGACAATGATGACTATTCAGGCTGAACAAAGACATCGGCTGTTGGGTGGCTTGACCAATAGGCAACGTATAAATTTACACTCGTCGCCCCGGTCCATCTCTATATTTTTCCTTCCTTCTTCAACCAAGATTTTCGTCGCGATGCTATGAATTTCTTCTCTTGCAAGGGCTGTGGAGAATCCCTCGACCCCGTCGCCGGCCCTTCCCGCTGTATGCTCCTGCTCCATATTTAGGTGCTCGCGTCAATGTTATCACACAGTGCGTTCTCAATCGATCCTGCTGTTCGCCACGATAACAGAGAATCTTCTTTCCAGACCAGAGAAAAGCCCTCACCTGTCTTCAGCTCCGATAGCTCATCCATTCATAGACCAACATCCACGAATCGACAGTATTAACGGCATCACCTAAGGGGAACGACTCCATCAAGGCCGTATTATTTTCTTCTGATAGATGTAAGTTTAATAGACATTGCCGCTGCTCCAAGTTAACTTTAAGTATACAGTGGAACGCCAAACCGTCCCTGTCACCATCGAATACCAAGGCGGACCCGATCATGCATCTGAGGTGCGGTATTCCCGCAGACAGGCACAATACGCTAAGCGTTTTCCGGAGTAAACTATGAATCGTGCTATAGCGAATATAAGGAACAGCACTGCGCCCAAGGCGTGGTATAATAACGTCATGGTGTTTTTTGTTCCTCAGCAATGGCGCTTATGTTGACGCCCAGAAGGGGGCATTTGCCATACATCAAGCTCACGTTCGAAGCACATTCTAGTCCAGCGTACATGTACTAGTTACAATAGATCTGACGATACATAAATGCGATGAAGTCCAGTCTATGTAATCTGTATCAGAGATATCCATTGGGGCGCATAACCTTCTGTAGAAATGGAATAATATGAGCCGTCCGCGATGGAAGTTCAGGACGTAGCCATCCTACCAACCCGCCACGTAGCTCATCGGCACCGAATTCAGTCTCTGGTCCTCGTCAAGGCAGTGTTGCCGTACCAGTGAAATCGGCATGATGCTGGCGGCGAGTGCGGATTGCCGAGGCTCCCCTCACTATGGTAAGACTATCGGGCGTTGCCAATGCCCCAAGGAATTCAGCAAGAATCGATCCTTGCCAGTCGCACTGAACCTGACCACAGGCTTCACCCAAAATTCTCTGCTTCTATCATCACATAATTCGACACTGATTCTAAACTGTTATTCTGACAGGTGCCTATTAGATACGTTTTTTCCGTATTCATTTAGTGGACGCGTTTGAACATAACAATACTTGCAATTCCTGCGAATACTTAGCTACAATTAAACGGAATTGATAGGAACTTTCAGTGATCTACAGTGAGTACTAATAAAAGAAGCCCCACTTTTGGTTGACTTCCCGGTGGCAGCTTATTTCCGTCTCGGTCTCCAAGTATATAAATATTTTGATTGCGATTATTTTCAGGCGTCGGCTATACCATCTTAGGTTCCCTCGTGATAACCCAGTCGCCGGGCTTTCTCTCACTCGGCCACAACGCAACGTGATCAGTCTCCACCAACACGACACTTTCTGATAAAGAAACGCAGGAATACAGATTGATTGGCGCTATGCTCGATTTGAGCGATCTGGCCTTCAGATGCCGTGTATCAATCATATCAATCCATGATTTCACGCCCAAAGACTTCGCGGATTACGAGTTCACGGCGTCGCGCCACATGGTCTTAATCCATCGAAATCTATCACTTTCCTCGCCGCTCGAAAAATATCACCTCATTCGCGACAGGTACATGTCCGACATCGCCCGGCTCTGCTCTTTACCCCACCCCTTCATTCGTAGCAGAGAAAAGCGCAGATTTCTTACCCCGTGGATGGGACGAAGATATCAAAAAGAAGTCCATTCTGTCTGCGAAGCAGGGAGACCGAGAAGGTGTCGCTGTTTGGATATCCCGGCTACGTGCTAAAAACACTCTCCTCCGTAATCTCCATCACGATCGCAACAACGACGATCTCCTCGTGCTTTTCAAGCAAAACTTAGAACGCTACTTTGCTGACTGCCAAAATGGAACTGACACATCGGCGAGGAAGGCCGTCGATCGATCTTACGAAGTGGATCCCACGGATAAAGCGCCTTGAGGAAGACTGATGCGTTGGGAGAAGGTCCTCCTAGCAAGATCCATTACGGTTAGTATCTCGCGTCCCACATCCCCAGACCGCTTCCGGCGTACAAATACTTCGAAACGCAGGCGTTCATGCTCCAGTCGCAGCAGTTCCGATTCTCGGCACATCTAACGATCCAGATGCGTATCCTCCCGTCTCCTATGAAGGGGGGGATCGCAGGCGACGTCACCGCTGCAGCGAAAGCGAAAGGAATACTGACCGCCATGGGAAGCCACCGCTCTCACCAACCAGCAATCGTAACTCCACGCGCGGAACCTGTACCATCTCGCCCTCCAGTGCCATCCCAATGCCTGTCACTACAACCGAATTGAAGACAGGGAGGTCTCCATCTCTGGTATCCATCGCGCCATGCTCGCCCCCGTCGTCAGCCATCACGGACTGCCTGCCCTCACAGTAGGTCAAGGCAGATTATGGAACGAAGCAGCGGGTGCTTCAAGTGTCGCAGAATCAAAGTCAAGCACCAGTCGGACAGTGGTCCGTTCGGCTGCGCTAGTAAAGATACATATCGAGGGATCACGCTGGCTAACGGGGTTACGCTTTCGAGTGATGCGAAGAAGGTTCCTTCAGCTACTACAACGTACGAGGCGAATATTTCTGTACAGCACATGTTGACTATATCAGTTTTTTGAACCGACCACAATAGCTTGCTTGTTAGAATTTAGGTGCTGATGATTCGGAAGGAAGCGTATTGGACTCGAAAGGAAGGTATATTACATCGTACAGAGTAGGGACAGTGGAGGTTCCGAGTCAAGTGAATAGGTACGAAAATGTCGAAGTACAAGGTAAGCAGTAAATATATATAAATAGAATGTGACATTAAAGCCGTGAAAACCGAATCTCAACATTGCTGTTCTTTTAAATGTGCACGTTCATCCTTTACAGATGAATTGGGCTTCCACATTGTCCTCTTCTTTTTTTAAGCCACGCCGATTACCCAGCATAAGGCAAATCCAAGAAGGGAGAAACGAAGAAAGATAAGTCGGCTCAGATCGGGCCGATGGCACTGATCACCTCAAATACAATATGACGCCATTAGAGTGAATACAATGGTGACCTTGCTCGTGCTACTACGAAGTTTCTACCGCCAAGTCCTGTCCTGTTTTGGATTTCCCCAAGACGAGTACGTCTCGATGCGTCTTGTGATTGACTGTACGTTTACATTGAAAGGCATTAGAATCAATATCTGCAGATAAACGGCAACGTGTATGATGAATTGTCTCAAGTTCGCTTTTTCTATCTTTAACTCCATTTTCTTCATGTTACAATGTCGAAACATTTCGGACCCCTCCTGCGCCCTGCGCTCAGGCATTGCCTGTCTCGCACGCGTTCTACTTGTACAATTTCAAAATGAATATATCAAATCGCCGTTGAAGCATAGACGTGGCAGTGCCACAGCTCCTCCCTTTATCGATCCATTCATCCATTCATCCATCCTCAAGCCACAGTCCTGCATCAAGTTGGTCCGTAGATTGAGAGGTTCATGCATACATCCCGATGAACGTCTTAGTTCCCTACTACGAGTAAGTGCAGTGGAGCCACACAGTACCGTCCTGACTAGCGTTCGTAGCAAACCACTGCCTGCCATCCCATTGGCGTCGGTGGGATCCGTCAACAAAATTCCTCCAGAATTACTCGCTGAGGTCTTCATATGGTTCTCAATGGTGGCATCCAATATTTCAGGAGTCGGCGAAAGTCCCTGGACGCTCACTCACGTATGTGGGCTTTGGAGAGAAATATCCACCCAAATGCCATCGATATGGGCCAAATTTTCATACACAAAGTCCACGAAACACCCTCTACCTCTATTCAGGACCCAGCTGGTTCGGTCAAAACGGGAGCCGCTATCGTTCCACGTGGATTTCTCATGCGACGCCCTGATTTCGGTGGAGGATCTACTCCCGGACACGATAGGTCTGTCCGTTTTCGATCTGCTTCTCGCAGAGTCTGATCGCTGGGTGGATGTGACTCTCATGATTCCCGATCATGCCCTCCGCGTTTTCCTCAAGATGTTGACCTCCGTCCGAGACGAGTGTTATCTTCTCCGGACATTTGCCCTCCACCGAAGGACACGGCTGTACAATCCGGACCCCCTTCGTATGCTGGATTCCATGTTTGTGACAGCGCCCAGCCTTAGTACTCTGAGATTATTCCCCTTCATTAATGCCTCTTTCCCATGGTCTCAGATATCGGTGTTAGAAACCAGTTTCCTCTCAGTCGACGAAGAGCTAATGGTCATCAAAAACGCACCTCTCCTCCGAACGCTGAAAACCTCTAGGATATATATGAGTTCACGACTCAGAGCGCCTGATCCCGTACCCTTCGTTCAGACGTCCCTAGTCTATTTTGTCCCAGTGTACACATCTATTTTACAAAATCTCGTCCTTCCCTCGCTCACCCACCTCAGGTCTGAGTTCTATGTAGGCAAAGACCAACTCGACGCGATCTCCGGGTTCTTTCGTCGCTCTAGACCTCCCCTTCTTTCTTTCTCGATCTTTATCGAGCTCCAACATCCCACTCTATCAGACGATCTCATTCGGCAAATCTTTGACGCTCTTTCCCCCATACAGACTTTGGTGAAGCTCAAACTCGAGCTAGGCTTTCCAACGTCGGAGCATGACTGTGACTTGGAGTCAATATTCCACGTGTTACAGGGATCTTTGTTCTTATTCCCAATGCTTGAGAGGCTCGTCATCCAGGCATGGAAGGGGATTTGTAGTTTGGGAGATATCCTCGCGTTGGTTCTCTCGCGCGAAACTATCCATCCATTGAAAACACTAACGGTGGACTGCGCTGGGCTGGCAAAGATGAACAGAAAGGCAACTTTTAGCTGCTTGGAAAGGCTCCGGGACTTTCGGCATAGAGGTCTGCAACTCACCTTGATCGTGTAAGTGGGCCTTTTTTTTCGCTCGTTACAACGGATTGTGATGGTCATTTTTCACAGAAATGAAACCAAGTTTGATTGGGAGTCGTATGTGGTGGGACCCTCTCTTGATGATACATTCTAGACAAATGCGAAGCGCTGCGAAGAACTTGGCGTTCGGATCTCCCAAAAAAAATTTTACAACAAGGCATAGTAGTAGAAAGGCGTCGACAGCGAAAAATATATCATAGATGTCACATATCTAAGTGATGGTATTGGGAGATGGCAAGTTTTGCGGATTTGGAGGGCTCTCCCCCTGCAATCCACGAATGTTGCCTGTCGCCTGCCTAAAGTCCTCCGAGTCCCTGGCCGTCTTCAACTTTCGACTCCTCCTAGGAAGCGGTATCCGTTCCTCCTCCAATTCGTCCTCCAAATATCGGCTCCCCTTCCTCCCTTTATCCGCCTGCTTGACGAACTCCAGCATATGCTTCCCAACTGAAATATTCGTCCGGACGTCGCGGAAAGCTTCACGAACATCTGCCCGCATGTCCTTCACCAAGGCTGATAGATTTTCCTTCTCCTTGATGATACTCGCGAGAATGACGATAAAAATGACCTCCACTGGTGACACCTTGCCCTTGCCATTCTGCTCGGGAACTTTGATCTCCTCGGCACGTTCCAGCGCCTCGATCATCTTCGTCCTGAATGAGTCCGATACCTCGGCTGTCAGGTCGAGCCATTTGGTCAGGGTGGCGCCAAGAGCGATGTTCTTGCCTTTGGGGTAGTTCATGAGGACATGCGCGATGACGGCGTAACAACGGAAATCAGTAGCACGCGAGCGGTCATAGGGAAGATTTTCGAGGGGGTACGCGTTCATTAGCTCACGGATAAGCTGGGCTCGAGGAGTGTTGATAACTTGCAATTTCTCTGTCTAGGCATAAATCGCCGGATACTCGCTTAAAACACAGACACATACCTGAAGGAGTTAAGGCCATACCCAACTGGACACGTTGGAAGATGTCTCGTTCGCCGTCATCAGTCAAGTCCTGATATTCGACACATACAACCTGCTTGTTTGCAAACAATCGACAAAGATACTCGGGGAGCAGGTTCTTTTCCCGTTTGCTCGGGGCCCCAGGGTTGTCTTTGTACCAATACTTTTCACCCGTCTCACTGTGGGCAGGATAATCAGTCAAGGACAAACGGGAAAGATTATCGCAGCGCACTGGTCTTGGTCTAAAGCAGTAGAAATACTTTGTCAATGGCGAAAGACCAACGAACGGGCAATTCTTACGCGGAATCTATCATGAGATCTATGAGATAACAGGATTATAAAATGAACGAGTAACTCACCAGACCTTCCATGAATCTATCGGGGAGTAAAATAGCCTATTAAAGCAAAGAAAAATCAAACTGGGTGAGTACGCACCTATGAATTGACGTAAGTCTCTGCTTGCCGTCGATACAAGTCTTGGTTTCTGTCCCATCATCAAATGTGTTCACCGCTGCTCTTGAATAAGCCGGGCCCAACAAATGAGTAAAGACAGCTACGCACCGAATATTATCGGCGGTATATAAAAGTTCCTCAAGACAGAATCTACGAGCCCTGTTTGCTTTTGTTGAGTCCAGACAACATCTATATGTTCTCCGTGAAAACCAGGAAAACGTTTTTCAGTAACATGGCTCACCTCGCTGGTACTCAGGGTCCAAGTTGATATCATTCGACAGAATCTGTTCGTACAGTGCCTGGGCCGTGTAGGTCGTTGCGCGAGGAACCTTGAGCGCATTGCTCAGCTTGTACTCGTCGGGATCACGCCGCGCAACTCGCTTTGACGAAGACGGCATGGTACGATAATCTTCCGAGCGAGCGTCATCGTCAGATTGTTCATCGTTCAGCATCCTGTCGTCGTTCGGAGCGACGAGGTGGTGGTCAAAAGGCATGTGATCTGAATTACAAATTTTTGCGATTGTCAATGCCGAATGTCGGACCGGTCTTCCTGGTATCATCACGGCTATTTCTTTCTTCCCTCCGTCTTCCGTTGGTCCACAAAACTACCGTAACCTTTCACGTGTGCGGAATATTTCACTGGGGATTAAAACTCAAACGCGTTAAAAGTCCCCTCCTTCCTTCATTTCTGCCAATCTCTGTCGCTGATGATCTGACAATGCTGTGTCGTAGGGGACTCAACCACGTGGCGACTCAGATCTTGACTTACATTGGAAGCAGTCCAAAATGGCTACGGTTTTCTCACATCTGGCCTTAAGGCCATCATGTGAATTGCCTTCTTTCTCGTGAACACGACAAATTCTTGATGATTACTCCCACTGATATATGATTCTGTTACTTTTCTCTCAGTTATCAAGTTCCACACCCACCGACATGCGCATTATTTGATGAATGTTCCATACATACTCGGCTCGGTACGTGACACTACTAAGGATAGGATATCCATATCTGCTGCTGATATCAGACACGTTAGCATCTTTTCATTTAAGTTCATCGAATAATTGAATTAGCAGGAATTTCTTACGATCCTGATATCACCGGTCATCTTCGGCACCCTTGATGGAAACTGTTGCCATTCCATGCCCAGTGTGGTTCTTGAAGGTCGTTCAGATGATTCATAACCGATTCTTTATTTTCGACCTTGTTCTACAGGTTGGGATGAATGTTGTTCTTTTTCGTGTGTGTCTTCGCGCAATATCGGTGATTAGATTAATTCTGGCAGAAAATCTGTTCTCACGGCCGTCCCTCTTTCCTTTGTCCTTCGGATCCAAGTCAGAGAAGAAGTCCATATATCCAAGAAAAGATAATGATATCGGAGACCTAAAAACCCACGATATGCTTCTTCGCTGTGCGTTCTGATATCAGAATGAAAAGCTGATCAGTTTTCGTCTCATCCCAAGGTCTCGTTCCAATGGCGGTATATCATCTGTATCCCAGACTACTGATCGATCACGTGTTTACCCCTCGAGTCGGTGCACCAACAATATATATCGTTCTCACCGCAGCGACTGTCTATCTTTGTGCGTCTTGCATAAACCATCTTCTCGAGGAGCCTCCAGGTGAGGCGGAGATGCTGCTACTTATCGTTTTGTGAGTCGATTCTCGCATTACACCCTAGACGCTGACACTTTGAGGCCATAGATCCGGCCTCAAGTTCATTATCTCGAACGGCTTTTCTTTCGATAAAATTTCAGGAAACGTGACCGCTGGGACACTTATAGAGCTTCACTGGAATCTGGATAGTAATAGCGACACGGAAGAGTTAATATTCGAACGGAGAAATCTCATCTCCCAATCCTCTGGGCAAGGGGATTATATAAACACCGTCCCTAATCAGACTAATGGAACACTGAATGTGACCTTTCCTTCACCAGGGTACGTCTAAATTATCTTGTTATTGAGCACCACTTCACGAACCGTCCCTTTATAGAAAATTTCTCATCGAAGTCGTTAACAAGAAAACCCAGTCGGTCAGGGCGAGCAGTAATACCTTTTACGCTGCGCCTCGTGCCGAGACGAGTCCCAGTAGCATTGTATCGCCCTCGTGTGTTTCGTTTCTTTTATCGGAATTCGTGCAGGCTCTGATGTCTCTATCTTGAAGGTCTCAGGGAAAAACGGGATCTCGCGCTTCTCCATCTTCCGGTTCAGCGCCAGCGAATGGATCAGTTCTGTATGTTTCCATTTCTCTTGTCCATGTGCACGCTCTCATTTCTATATAAAGATCCCAGACAAAAACGGCATCCTTCCTTTCTCCATCTTCCAGTTCGCCCCACAGCGAAACCTCATCTGCTCTTTCCTCACAATCCAGAATACTCGAAATAGTCGGTGCTGCAGTTGGTACCTTCGTATTCCTCCTGGTCCTTCTAGGGACACTCATATACACTCTACACCGAAGACAACGAGGCAAGCGATACCCTGCTATCTTTCATAGAGACATGATGGTCCGGAAGCGCTCGAATCCATCGCTTTCACCTCTCACTCCCACAACAAAGGATTCGGATACTTACAGCAATGACAACTTAGGCAAAGACACTTCTTATAATTCCAGAAATGCCCCCGATAGAGACGACCTTGCTAAAGGATTTTCGGAATACTCTCTCCCCGCTCCTTTAGGCAACAGACCGGAGACTCCGTCTCCAGTTTCCGCTTACACCGACCGCCAGATGGAGCTACACGATGTTGTGGTGAAACTGAAGATGGAACTTATTAGGCTTAAGACAGAATTGAGGCGGGGTGGAGATGTGAAAGCGGAGATTGATGCGGTTAAGAGGAAGATCACAGGCTTGGAGGACTCATTTGAATCCGCATGGGCACTTGAACATACCCATGACATACCGATTAATGTTTCGAACATGTTGATTTCGAGGTGAAGAATGGAGACGCAGACCTTTTAGGCCCTAAGCAATGATTACAGGACATGACCATATCAAACAAAGACCGACATTACCGTATCTCCATAAACTATACTTTGACTGAAAAGAAGTACAACCATTTAATAATTCTCGTTACTCAATTGAAATAATTCACGGGACTGGTTGACGAATAGACATACGAACAAAGAAAACGAAAAACAGTCATTTTAGGCCTTCTGGTCCTCCGGACTCTTCTCACCATCCAATTGTTCATGATCGACTGCATTCTGTATATCACCGAGGTGCCAGTTTGGCATAAAGAATGCCACTATCAAAAGCACAACACTGAGGACGACAGCCACGATAAGCATGACTTTCATAACATCGGAATATGCTGAAAATAAATGGATGAATACCGTGCAGCCATCGACGAGAAGGTGAACTGTCAACCAGAAATGACCCCTTCCCGAATAGTATTGCCCCGAGGATAGGTCGTTACGGTAATAATACTTGCGTATAGATCCGCTCGCTCCTCAGCCGAGACAGAAGGCAATTAATGCGCTAGTTTATCCGGCATCATCCCCGTCCGAATAGCACCAGCTGAACGACAAGATCGTCAATGACATTTAATCGTGCGAGGCAACTAAACGCACCAATTCCACTTCCAATGGCTCCCCTGATCTCAGTCAAGAGAAGAAAGACTGCAGTTAACATGGCAACATCGATATGCGGAACGCTGGCTTGAGCAGCTACCTGGATCGTGACGGATGCCATGCCGCCGCCCACGCTTTGGAGGATTCGAGTCCAAACAATCTCTGCGTCTGATGCGTTGACACCGCGAGAGTGAACCATGAGACCGACGCCAAGCAACCGGATGCATAGACCGATGATCAACATAAGCTGAGGACATGATGAGTGAGGGTCGGAGAAAGCAAATGCAGTCAAGTTACCTTGTATCGATGGAAATAACGCATGGCTACACCAGTACAAATGCCAAAGAATGTCAGCCCCACGGATTGCGTCTGGATGAAGTAGGTTGCATCGATCAAGGACCTGTATACAAAGTCAAATAGGTTCGATCTAAACATAAAAATGTCCTGTACCATCGTTTCACGACTAGAACGAAAGAATAGAGGTACAAATATGTGAGATAGAACAGGATCTGGTCCATTGTGAGCATACCGGATCAAGGAATCGAGGGAAAACTCACAAAATCAAAGAATCCAATCAAACTTGCACCCACGACACTCTTGTTCTTGACGTACCTCAACGGAATCACCGGGAACTTGGCAAACTTGAACTCCCAAGGACCGATGAGAGGGAAAAGGACACAGCCAATAACCACCATAGCGATCATTGATGCTAAGAATAACATCGTAAACACCTGGAAGAACGCGCTATAAGTATCACCCTACGGTTGTGCCATTCCCCTTTCGCATTATCTGCTAGCGTAAATGGGAGCAAGATCAATGCGACGCTTGTTCCTATGAGCGCCAAGCCGAAGATGTCGAGCTGAGAGGCAAGGTCGAGCACTTTCTTGTCGAAAGGTTTGTCCTTTCGCGCATCCTTAGTAGTATCAGAACAGGCGGGTGTACCAGAACACATACCTCGACAGGCTTTTCTGACACCAAATTAAGTCTCTTTGCTTTCCTCTCTGCCAAGACGAGCGTAACAACGAGCGGAGCCAAGGATGTGGGAATCAAGATCGCGAACATCCCATCTATAGGAAGCTGAGTCAGTAACTCACTACGAAGCGTTGAGACCAGAGCTCACATCCCCATCTCCACCCAGCGCCGTTGAGGACCTGCGTGCTGATGTTACTGCAGATGAAGGCATTGATAATGAACGGGAGGGACATCAATCCGGATACAAGACCACGCCATTGAAGGGTAGTTATGTCAGCGATAATGATTTGGGTGAGTAGCTGGAGGCCTGTGTAACCACTGGTGTGGTAGCATCAGTTACCATCTTCGAGAGCGTTGAGGGCCAACTTACATAGCATATAAGATGATGCCTCCGGCAATTGTTTGGATGCTATGGGCGCTTGCAATGACGATGTAACCTAATTTACAGTTTAGTAGTGACGTAAATTTGATGGATAGTATACTCTGCACCGAGGACATAAAATATTACTACGAAATCTCATTAATCGAATGCAAAATAGAGTAAGGGCGACTCACAAACTGTAACGTATGCTGCTCCTCTTGATTGAACATCGGCGACCTTGGCAATGACAGGTTTCCCACATGCAACTAGAATAACGTTAGTCATCACCCGCTTCCTGAATGACTATGGTTCACTGATGATAGACTGGGCGACCTGGATCGTACTAATAAGACTGTGGTTGTTCAAAGAAGACGCCGCGAATGCAAGGTCCGCCCAAGTTGTCTGACCATCGAGAGAATAGATGTACGCTGACAGACCAAGCATACAACCCCATGAGAAAGACGAAGAGGAGTAAAATACGACAAACAAACCCAACGAACAGGAACCACTTGGAGTACTTGCCGTACACCTTATGTGTAGCTTTAATCTTCGCAACACCGCTGTGCGCGACAACCTCCTCAGCGCAAAGGTGCGGCGCCTCGCTGGAAATGCTCTTGTTATCCTCCATGGTGGATAGAAGGAGTGCAGCTTATGTGGCACCTTCTTTTCTGCCAGCCATATGGTAGAGATGTCCTCTGATAATGATCTGGTTCCTTATCTGATAAAGTAGGCCATGATCCGAAGCAGATCGTGCGAAATCGGGTTTTTGGCCGGCCCGTACATTGACAATGTTATAGGAGATCAGTCCTTCTTGGGCAAGCCGCGATAGGCGCAAAGTTACCTGTTGAATAGAGAAATAGTAACTTATGGGGACCGTCGTGGAAGGACATGGCTATGCGAGGTGAAGAAGCTCCACCATATCCATCAGAACTGCATCAGCAATTGTCCCTCACCTCCGGATGGATATGAGCAAGATCACCCTTTAAGTCGTGAACGGCTCCCTTGGTGACTGCAAGTGAACATCTTACCATTGGACGGGAGCGACATCAGGCCATTCGGACATCATGTGCGTGACGTGCCCTGAGCGCAATAAGTTAGGCTTTTTTCGAACTGGTCAACGGTAGTTCGAGACCGGACGGGATCGGTGGAAGAATGGGCCGAACAGCGTGATTCATGGGGGAAGCAGTCGGAAGCCCGACGTTGGTTTTGAATCGCGGTCACATTTGCCTAATTCGAAATCTGTTCCAGAATTCCCGGGTGACCACCGGAACATACGAAGACCGTTCAATGGCATCAGACGTAGTGCTAAATGTCGTCGACGCTCGATGATATCGTATCGAACAAACTTTAAGGAAAAGCATTATTGCCAAGATGACTACACAACCAATGGTCGCTCCCACGATGATACTCGTAGAAAGGTGTGTTCAGTTAGATTGCTGCCATGTTGCACATGTCTATAAATACATACATGAGCGTTACGAATGGTGGTAGGAACGACTCGGGTTTACCCTGAGCCATGTGTTTCGTTGAAAAGACCAACAAGTCAAGCTGGAGGGCGAAATCCTGTGAGCTGCTCATTGGAATTCAGAAGCAAGCCATCGACCATCAGAGCCAAAAACCGTACCTTTTTTTTTTTTTGGAAATTTCAGAAATTCTTAGACCTATTGGTAGCGTAGGTGGGAGAAGGCGAAGGCGGATTCAGACCGTAGCGCATGTCCGTTTAGGGGCAGGGTAGACATAGAGCGTACGTTTCCGCAGCTAGGCTGGACAATCTATCCGTCCACCTCCCGGACACTGCAAGGGTTCCATGTGGTGATGAGAGTGGGATTCGAACCCACGCCCTGTAAGCCCAAGAAAAGGGAACATGATGGATGAACCTTTGCTGAACTAATGAATGTAACATGGTGTTTGATGATGGTTGTGCTATCACATTGGATGGTGGTTGGTCCATGCTCGTAAAGCCATTTCAGAAAGTGATATCAGTTTCTGACAATCAGATGACCACTGAAGCCCCTACACCATGTCAGCGTAATTTGCGCAACTGTGTCAACATTGAAGTATACCATCAAGGAGAAGGTCGTCTGCCTCTGTGGTCCGATAATAACTTGAGACAGGGCCAACAATTGAACATGACACTCCCGCTCAGCGAATGCCTGAAATTGAACATACTGTGACAGTGGCATCAGTATACATGTGACCATGAAAATGTCTGCACATACCTTATTTCGCTGAAGGATATGTGGACAGGAATGATGCTTCCAGAGATATCACCAATATCCAAAGGTGCAGAGATTGTTGAGGGACTGGTATCAATCTTGACAGGTATGCCAAAGGTGACTCGCAAACAGGCACCCACGTGTTGTATCTCCTTCTAGTTGCTTCAATTTGTCTTTATTATCTTCTAAAGTCTTCACCTTCCCCTTGATTCTCTTGGCTTCGTCTTATCTGCCTCCGGTGACTCCCTTCTTCCATTATGACTTCTACTGACCCCTTTCTCTCTTGCTTTATACCTATATGATTTAGTCTTGACTCAAATACTGTAGATATGATTCATCCTACTTAGTTGTTGTATCATCCAATTATCTGTACTTTCCTATGGCTCCAAAATATCATGTACATTAGTATAAAGATGTAGGGATGACCAATACAATCAGAATTGTCTCATCACTATTCCCTCTGAACTGGCATCAGATTTAAGAGGATAGGGTGATACCTCACTTGATCAAGTGCAGGCTCATAACTTTCTTTGTAACTTGCATTTGTTTGAAAGAGCAGAGTTTACTCTCACACTCATACATTTAGTGGTCCTATCAATGTTCTCGACACTGGTCAGAAGCACTCAAGTGGGCCAACAATAGCTGCTTGCTGAGCTGGGATAATTTTCATGCAACTTTCCTCAGAGAGTTTGACTTGCTAACTTGAACTGATGAGTTACACTGAGAGATGGACAGAGTTCCCTACTCAGAGGATATATCCAACTACTGTTTGAAGTTTGAGAGGGTGGAGAAAAGTCTCTGTGCTGCAAGTGACAGTGCATATGGGTGCTTTAATGTGGTGAACAGTACCAGCATCACATATAATGCATCTGTCCATCTTGACAGTAACTGTGTGCTCACTACTTTTAAATGTACATTGTTTTTATGACATGACATTTTACCTCTGATTAGGCTCATCTACTCAATTTTTCCAAGGTTGAGCCCTACACTGTATATGGTATGTTGCTCAATGCTGTCTATTCTTTTGCTTGCATACCCAGATTCAGGAGTACTCTTTGGAGACTGTGGAACTGTTATACTGGCTGACTTCTCTTCCATTACCCAGAACTACACCTTCACATAAGGTTCCTCTGGCATACATGGTCTTGCTCTTCTTCCAAATACCATGTATCTCTATGCTGCAGATGACAGTGATAACAAGATCTGGACATTTGGCATCAACATTGTAACCAGAGAACTGATCAGATGCCTCCACCAAAGGAAACAATCCCAGGCACTTAACAGTCCATCCCAATGGCAAATACTTATTTGTCATCTTAGAGGTAAAAAGTGGACAAAATGCTGTTGACTCAAGACTAATTTCAGATTTGTTCCAGCAACCAAAAGTCCAGGTATCCAGCAATGCAACTTACTTCTGGGTGACCACCTGATCCCACAAAACCAATGAAACTGGGCACCTATCTGTGTTCAGTCTAAACAAAAACAGCTCCATCACTGATGAGCTCTTCCTCACCCCACCATGACCTTGGGGCCACCTGCAGCTCACATTGACCTGGTTGATGGAGGGTGCTGTGCAAATGCAATTTGGTATGACTGAGACATGTAATAATTTGATGTACACATATTTTGTAGCATGGGCCACAATTAGATGAGCTTGTTATCCTAGAGCAGTGCTGATGACACCGCTGCCAACTGGCTTCATGTGTGCAGGTGAGACTTTCCAGAGATAAATCATTTCTCATGTCAGAGACTCCGAATTGGAGAGTATTCCTCATGTCCGCAGCAGTTTCTAAGTCAATGTGAATGATGAATATTCGTGGCATGCATTACAAAGCGAGTACAGAGAAATTGTTACATGTATAACTTCTAGCGTGAGCGTAGAGAATTCAATGCCTAGGTACGGTGTCTTTTGTGGAGAATGGATATATATACAAAGGACAGATAGCCGACGCATTGCAAGGGAGAGCGACGAGTAGAAGAGAATGTTGACTTTTTAGCTTTGTGGATGAAGAAAAACGCTCAACACGAGAGACAATCGTCTCAATGGAAGGTACGCATATGACGATTTAGATTGCCTTTCCTGCTGAAAGACTTCTTGCAGCCTTCTTGTGGACATTCATCTAGGGAACTGTGAGCACTGGAGCCGAAGAGAGAAAAGGTCGAGCGCAAGCTTCTCGACCAAATGCAGACTCTTGACATGTCTCATCAGACTATCATGTCGAGAGAAGCACTTTCCACATCCTTCGTACCTGCAAACGTTTCGCCTCGTGTCTTTATTGGTAGCGCCTGCCAGCAGCACGCCGAACGGAATCGACGGAATCACCGTGTGAGACTCTGCTTCAGCCTCATCGTCTTGACGGAACTCCGGAGCAACAGGAACTTTCCTTCCGCGACTTTTCTTACTGCCCTCCACAACGGACTGCAGCTGGTCGCCTCTGCCGTCCTTCTCACCAAAGTACTTCGTCGTCCCGGTCGACCAAGTCCTCTTTTTTGGGGTCAAGGGTCCTGGACTAGGGCGGTAGACCATATAAGAATCCGATTCGTCGCCTTTGTGATAGAAGAATTCGGATCTCGACCGTAGTGAATCGCTCAAAAACTCCGTGCCCCAGTTAGAAGCTGAAGACGCCTGCAAGTCCGACTGTAGACATTTACGCTTGTCCCTAGATGGCGAGAGGCCCTGATGAGTGGGTTGTGCTTTCGCCTCAGTAGAAAGCGATGGGTCAGGAAGATGCTCCAGAAAGGATGAAGAAGATGTGGGATCCAATACATGATCGGAGTCCGGCTCCAGTGAGGTGGATGGTGTCGCGGGAGAATACAAGGGAACGTCCGAGAGAAAAGGTTCTGTGTGGCTAGAAAGGAAGGGCGAGTCCGCCCTTGACAGGACGAAAGGGCTATGTCCTTGAGAGAAGTGGTATTTCAAAGGTGTCGGCATGAAAGAGGCTTCATTCTGCACGGAATGGAAGTGGGAGAGGCAGTCGTCTGGATGGTCCTGAGAAGAAGAAACTTAAGGTTTGGTTGGGATCTCTATCTCACATGAATCCCCAGGCGACGAAGATAGGATGTCCTCCATCTGCAGAGCGGTGGTGGCGGTTACTGCAGGAGGTGACTCGAGGGAAGTTTCCGCCCTTTTTGAGCGAAAAATCAGAATAGGGGATCCTCGATCATCACTTATCTTTGGCGAAAAAATCCTGATTTGCCTGGGATTTTCGTACGCAAATCCTGGGACATATCCAAAAATGGCCAATACAGACAAGATGCACTTCCCGATTCCTTCCGCCTCTTGCACTGGATGCTTGAAAAAGTTTTCAAGCTGCATAGCGATGACAGAGTAAAGAAAAGGGATTACTTTGTTTCCATCATCGCTAGAGTCTCAAAAATATAATGGAAACATGCATGGATTAGCAAACATAATTCGATGTCCTTGTCACACTCTTTTCGAAGAGATACGAGCTAAAGAAGCACGATGTTATCAGCGGTTTCTCGCAGCTCTGACATTAGAAAACCAACGCACAATCGTTTGATGACGATGGTTGCATTTTGGGCATATCTTTTCCACAGAGTTGTTAGCCAAACGGGCCTAAGGAAGTGCAATGAAATACACATGCATCCATGAAGAATTAAGATAGACCATGGCATGATGAGTGGGGATTGAAGGGAAAATAAGCCGGCCCGGTGAACAACCTTGAGTACTCACACGTAACGCCATGCTTGTGAAGAAGTAATTTCACGACGATCCTCTCCGCACAATATACACGCTACTCAGGAAAATTCCAGCTTACATCGCGAATAATTCTTCCATTTTTAATATATGCATATAAGTACATTCTGCGGACCTGCATGAGCACCACAGAAGCTTAGCTATCAGCCCTGCGAGATCCACAAAATGTGAAATATAGCAAGCTATCCTAGAAATGTCAAACCCAGTGTCACTAGGTGGCAGTGGCGGAACTACGGAATGAGGCAACTCCCCACTGGGTTCTGGGCCTGCATCCCTTCCTTCCCGGAGAGAGCCACGCTTCTGTCATTACCACCAGTGTCATGCGACGCTGATGACATTGAAGTCGCGTCGATGTCATACGCCGTTCCGCGGTCCGAATGGGAACCAGTGAAAGGCATGATGATGTCCCCTAAATTCACTGACATTCTCTGTGACTCCGCAGTGGTGGGAGACATGAGCGTGGGCGTTTCGTGGATAGAGCCAAATTACGATCCATCGTTTCCCACGTCACTGGAACTCGAACATGAGTGCAATGTCGGTCTGTTTGGGCTTTGAGGGCTCAATGGAGGTGAGTGATTCGTCATGTTGACTATACTGCTGGGGTGGAATGAGGTAGGGTCAGAGATCTGTGTCATCGCCGAGTTAAATCGGAGGCGCATTGTAGATCGTTGTCCCCGTTTGCCTGTCCACTAATTCCATCTGCACTTTTAGTAGATACGCGTCGACGTTAGCGTCAGAAAAGGAAGAAAGAAATAAGGACAGAGAGCTAAGACGCGCACACCGCCAACAATGCCTCCGACGATGGGACCGATGGGAGTGGAAGAGACATTACTACTGGCGATGTCATTATCCGAAATAAGATCAGGATGATCTGTCGAAATATGTTAGTTCTACATTATACTCATAGGAGCTGTAGGTACATACCACAAGGCTCTTCAGCTCCCTCGGATATATAGGCAGATGCGAGTTGGTGAGATCTTGAAAGACAGCATGTGCTATACTAGATGAAGCAAAGGGATTACTGTCGCTGAAAGCAGGAAGCATAGATCTATCATAGAGACCATAGTAGCGAATACTGATTTGGAGTTTCGTCAATTTTATTGGAAGGATGGAAACCAGAGACAAAAATATGGAGAAATCCCCAGGTTTTATGTCGAGATATAATTCTGACTAGCGGGATGAGTGTTCAGCAACGCAAACGAGAGGATCCATTGCTGAACTTGTAATCTGTACACAGTATATATTAAGAGGAAGGTCATGGGAAAAGGGAGAGGTAAAAGGCTGGAAATTCGACGCCGGGGGTTTCAGATCTGTTTATAGTAATTCTCGTCCACAGAGAAGGTGGTGAGCCTAAGATAGGGCGCCATGAGTGCGGGAGGTCGAGGGATGGAACGTAAGGACGGATTGTATCAAGCTCTCATTTTGGGCATTGTAACTAAACAGAAACTCGTAAACATGGCAGAACATGAAACTGCTCGAGGTGTAGACAGGAAGAGATGATGGAATAGTCTGGTTTCATGTTCTGAGATGCTTGAATGACAAAGGCTGTCACTACCGCCGAAAATAAAGCCGCCTAAATGAGTGTAAGCGCGAGCCTGGTAAGTGGAAAGAACCGCATGCACAAAAATAAGTAGTGCATCAATAGTCTTATGATATTCATGCATACTCCCATCCAAAGGAGCCGCTTCATCCATATATGTCCACCAAAAGAATCCCTAAGGCGATACCATGCCGTATAGTCATTCAAATCTGAGCCTAAACCTGATACGGGACTTCGGCCAAATTATATGTCAACGGATGCGAAACTTACGGCCGGTGGCAGTGCTTTAGCACAGCATAGGCCAGAGTCATTTTTGATGCCTCTCTTCTTCAAGGGTCCTCTTTTCCAGGCGCCGTTGAAAATGCAGTGCCTGATACAGCTGGTGGAAAGAACAAAAGAAGTGCGGCCCCATCTTAATCGGATCGGATTCACGGATCAGTCGCGGGTATCCATTCGACCAGCCGTCAAACTCGGACCTTTCTCTGCGAGCCAAAAGAATTCTCTGTGGGGTAGGTTATTCCTGTATCTGTTATTCTTACTACGATGGAACAGAAAGTAGAAGGAATAGATGGGTCGAATCGTATCGTACATTAAGCTGGCGATGCTAAACTGCGCATCACAGAAAGACATCTAAAGTTCTATGCTTAAACTAGTCTGGCGCTTTCATCAAGCTGGTGGTCCTCGTATCCAATGTTAACATTCTTAGTTATCGATCTCGCTGGATAGGAACACGTTGGTTGGCTAATAGAAGGTCTTAAAAGTCGAACATTCTGACATCAAGGACAAGTCAAGGATATAGTCACAAAATCAAATATGATGATATGATGATGGGATCGATTATCACCTTGGTTGCTATGTTTGCTTGTAATGTGCTCAAGTATTCTATGCGGTGCCTATGCTTTGGGAGAGGAGAGTTTTTTTGAGAGGGCTACTAATACTGTCTTCCCACTTAGAAGTTTTTCAAGTTCTACTGCGGGCTTGTTCCAAGTGGGTAAGCGCCTCTTGAAGGGGGGTATGGGTGGTTTAGCAAGTCGAGGGATGTCGTAGTGCCACATCTTTTATACTTCCTTCCGTCACGCGCAAGCGGTTCCGTGACGTGCAATGATGATGATAATTTAATCGTGTCTAGCGTCGGGCCGATTGACTATAACAATTGTTCAGATCTTTCGTACAAGGTTACAAATTATCCTTGCTCGATATCCTTCTCCATGACTCCCATTTCGAGCTTCCTAGAACCGAGTATTCTCTTCTTCCACCTCCGCCATCGAAATCCACGATGAGTTTCCAACGACCCGGTGCCAGTGTATGGCTTCATTAATGGCTTTTAAAGTCTTCAGTTGACGGAAAATTGGAAGATTCAGAACAGCCGCCTACCCAGTAGATGCTGCTATTGCGTTCCTTTGCTGTCCCAACACAGTCGGTCAGAACATCAACAACCTCTTTCAGATTCTTCTTCAGACGTTTCGCATCACCTGGCGGTATCACTTCGCGACTGTCAGAGTAGTAGCTCTCGAGGAAGGCGTCGTTATCTATGCGCCGTTCCACGAAATCAAGCAATTTATTCCATTCATGGTGGTCAGGAGCGATTGAAGCCAGGGCAGATAAGATAGGACGTCGTGGGATGCCATTGAGCGCGATGCTCATGCAAATTGTCAGAATAACGGGCGCTTGATGAAGGTCTTCGATATGCATTTCAAGAACCTCCGACTGAATACCTGTGTGATTCCCTGTGACCGTCTCGTTAGTCGCCTCAAAAAGCAGATTGACATAGCCCTGCAGTCCTTCAATGAACCATATGTGAAGTGTGCTGTGCTGCGCGATATACTGCAAACTTCTTTCCTGCTGGAAAGTTTCATATGCATGGCAGATCCCTCCCGAGAGTCCCTGACCCACTAAAAAGCTGATTACGCCAAACAGAGAGCCAAAACGCTGGTAAGGAATGCGCTGTGTGTTGTATTGATAGTATTCGTCACTCTGGTCCACGACGCGAAGGAGGTTAGAAAACACAGCCCTCGTGGCCCATTCAGAGAGAGGTACAACGACGCCAAAGTCAGAGCCACGCTCGATAAACCAAGCTATACATGCAAGAGCGTGAACACGGCAGGTCCAAACGAGGGTCCCATACTCTGATCCATTCTGAGAACGCATAGAAGTTCCGATGAACAAATCTGATGTGATATAAGAGAGTGTCGCCTCGAATACTCCGCGATGGCAGAACGGAGAAGGAACAGTATCTGGATCTTGAATGCCTTTACTGATCGCATACAATGCGACAATTAACAGCCAATATTTGGTGATCGTAGAATCAGAATGGAAGAAGCGACGTCGACTCGAATGTACGTCAATCAAATTTAACTCGGAGTGCTCCCAGTTGAGCACCAAGAGACGCATGATTGAGAGAAGAAGCCTTGGTCGATGATCCATTGACTCCTGATACAGATCGAAATTTTCGAAGAAAGAGAGAAGATTGTCGAGAACTTCGTCCGGAAAACATTCAGCTGCGGTATCCGCTAAAGTGGTGATACACGAAGCAGACGAAGGACGAGCAGGGAGAAATAGGGAGGCTACCAAGTTGAAACACATATCGATGTTGAGTACAGTATCGCTCGTGCGACTAAATAATCCTTGATCAACTGCACGGAGGAATAGGCTCTTCCAGACGACAGGATGGTGAACATCATTGTGGGATAAGGCATTCATGGCAACTTGCTTCTGCGATGGTAACTGTGTAGGCTTTCGAATGTGTGTGGCTTCGAGAGAGGATAGGGTTATCGATAAGCCGTCAAAGTAAATGTACTTGTTCGAGAGATCCAGATCATACCCTCCGAACTGAGGTTCTCGGCGTAAGGGAGGAAATTGAATCTCCAGCCGGAGAAGCTGCTCAACCCTACGGTCGATATCTGGAATATCCTTGGGAATCCACCGAGTAGAGCTCCCGTCTCGGTTCAGAACTCTCTCCATACAATCCATCAACATATCTTCTTTCTCATCGCGTATCTCACGCCAGTGAGATTCAAAGAGGTTATTTGCAAACCGTTCGCAGTCAGCAGGCAATCCAGATAGAGCCTGGATAACGAGATGGTGCATGTACGAGTTCGATGATACCGTATACAGCCAATGGAGTGCTCCGACGTCGAATTCGGCATGTGACGTTTCTGCCGCTTGGAGTTCGACAAGCTGTAAGGTGTGACGATGAGGCCAAAGAGATGATGATATCGCGTTCAAGACAGCGGGGAACTGTCCAAGCATCCGAATGAAAATGGCGTACAAAACAGATGATACCGGTGTCCTGTACGGGCATTGTGGGTATATCATCGGAAGCATGTTGGTAGTGACATACACCACAAAAGTCGACAATGCTATGGCTCCCGTCAGCAGTGCAATGACCAGTTGCAGGGGTAAAAGATAAAGAATGAGGCCCAGTAGAAACAAACCGAGGGATAGGTGCAACATCAATGGCAAGAGAGCAATGAAACCACTGACATGCCAGCAACGAAGGCCCATATAACGAAACTGTCGAATACGACTGCGAATCTGCCGGTCCCCACTGATAGGTGATAGATAATGGTAATGCCATTCATTAGCGAGTACCGCAAACAACGCGGTGGCAAGACTGAGTGTAAGACTCGCGAACCATAACCCGTTTACGCACGAGTCCAAGGTTTTTGGAATGAAATGCTTCACAGGATCTGCGCGTGAAGCGCTGATACCATCCAGCGAGGTGCCATTTGCCAATGCGCGCTGTATATTCACGAGGTCGAACAGCAGATATGCAGACAGTTTGTCATAGTCTGGCTGAAGATTCGAAGAGGATTGTACAATGAAAGCACTCACGACCGTGAAGAACGATCCCGCCTGTAATATGTAAACGTTCAATATCGTAACATCGAACTGACCCGCTCACAAAAACGAGGAGGATATTGACTTTGTCCCTTTCATTGGCGACCATTTCAGTATCATATATCGTACTCTCGTCAACATATATCTACCAAACACGCGCAGTTGGCCCGGCTTCTTCAAACGGTGGATCCTCGGAAGGCGCTTAGCGGCGTGCTGAGATGATTTGTCAGAACAGCTACCGACACTTGAAAGAGCGCTCATACCAGTGGTCCCCGTAGACGTGCTATTGTTCCTCCTTGGAGGATCAAAGATAGACGGAAATATTCTCCTAAGTGGGCGCGTAGGCATTGACTCGCGGGAGGGCATTTTTTCCTCTTCCTCAGATACATTTCGTAAGGATAAGGAGACCTTTGTTTTCGACATATGCGCCGTCGTCGCCATGAACATATTATAGCTTGACCCATCACCCTAGATAACCAGTCAGTCATTAATCAACCCACTGAAGAATTCAGACACTCACAATCATCACATTAGGGGATCCAGGGTCAAACGGCTGTACACTCTCCAGATACTCTACCTGCTCCTTTGATAGCGTGATATCGAGCGGCTCCAAATTCGCTACAAGGTTCTCCACCTTTCTACCTCCGACGAGAGGAAAAACATACCGCGCCTTCTGCATCACGTATGCTAGAGCAACTAACACTACTACCATTATCAAAAGCACATGACAATGTGAAGAAACGAGCTCACCAGAGCGAATATTCTTGGCACCAACCTCGCCAGCAACTTTTTCCAGTGCTCTCGAAATCTTCTTCTCGTTCTCATTCCTCTCCCAGCCACCTCGTCCAACGATAATACGCCCGTCTCTCCCGACTGTCTCCTTTGTTCCCCTTCTGCATCCGTGCGTAGCTTGCCGCCACCTATGACATCCCACGGGGCGAGCGCCAAACCTACGGAACCCCACTGTCAACATAAGAACGATCAATGACTTCCCATGACCTAACAAGAGTGCGCGCCATAGGAATGATGTCACGCTCTAAAGAGCGATCCAAGATACTCCAGTGTCCTTGATAGATCGCAAAGAGTGTCTTGCCATGGACCTGAGCATACATATTTGCGCGGGATACGACCCATGCAGATGAATCGGAGATTCCCTACGGGACGATAACAACGGAAAGGGAACAAGGGAGGAGGATATGCATACAAGATAGAGAACTTTCCCCTCAACGAGGTTATGCAAACTGTTCATTACCTCTTCGATAGAAGTCTCGAAGTCCCACCAGTGCACGTAGAGAATATCAATATAGTCAGTGCGCAGCTTTGTAAGACTGTTTTTGACGGAGATGTGGAGAGATTTATTCCCGTTTCCGATGTAGTTGACCTTTTGCTGAATGCTATGGTTACCGCGCTTGAAATTCATCGTGTACTGAAACATCATGAGCACGTCGACCAACTCATACGATTCAATGCGCCTTACCTTGGTGGCAATGACCAGCTGGTCGCGAATGCCCCGCTTCTCGACCCATTCACCGATGAACTCTTCCGAGGATTCGTCCTGACTACGAAGATTTACAATATTGTCAACGGAGAGATCAAGATAGCGCTTACTAGCTATTGGCTGTATCAATAAAGTTGCTGCCCATATCAAAATATGCATCGAGGACTTTGAAGCTTGCCTCCTTGTCCATACTACCAAACCCGAGCTTGTGCCATTTGTCACCAATGCTCATCGCACCCAGCTGTATGGGCGAGACATGAACACTCACCAGAGGGGACAAAACATGGTAGTAGCCCAACTTCATTGGGGGTGCAGGACAGATAGCAAAGAAAGACATGATGGAAGGTGTATATGAATGTCCTCCATAATTTTGTGCTTTATACACCAGCAGATGATGTTGTATGACAAATAACCAGTGACATGCCCTCTCCATGTTCAGGCATGTAAATTTGCAAAAATTAAGAATATGTGGACTATATTCCAGTCCACTAAGCATGTAACTGAAAATAGGGCTAGAGCACAAAGAAACATAGCTATTATGATGCTAAACTGAGGTAACAACAAGCAGAGTGCATGGCCTAGTGATAGACTAATACCAGAGGGGTTAGACTGCATGTGAGGTCCCAGCACTTGGCTCTAAATGTGCTAATACCATTACAAGAAGACATGCTAAAAATAAAGAGAGTATGATTGAAATATAATCAGTAATTCTGATCACACTGATCAAGGATGCACATCCATTGATGTAGTGATGGGACATGCCTTAGAACAGAGAACTGAGATCCAAAGAAAGGTATCTGAATAACTGGGTGTTGAACAGAGAAATGGAATGATGACAACAAAGTAACAAATAGAGAAATACTACCAAAGGGTGAATAGCATGCATAATGCTCAGAGACTTGCACACATAATTATGGTGCCTTAGCATGCATAATACTGCGAGAGACCCTACATTATACTCAGGTATGACACATAACCATTGGGTGGATTAATTGATGCATGCCAGACCAGAGGTGGTGCATATTGTGAGTCAGATGGAATGTCTGGACACTGGAAAAGAGAACATAGTCATTGTAGCTGACTTCATACATGAGAGATAACTCTGGGGGCCTGGAACAGTTCTCCAGTGTTGGAATGCTTCACTGGAGAAATAAGAAAGCAAGCAGACCTGGCTAGGCCAGCTAGCTGATGTCAGCTAGTGAGAAAACAGTGGGCACAGTCCTGACCCAGAACAGAATAAGCATAGTAACTGCAATATCCATGCAAATAATATCTGTGGGATCCAGAACAGAGTCTTGTACTTTGAAGATACTATAGTAGGGTTGTATTAGTAAGCACCACAGTAGAGTATTTAAATACTGCATGGTATGAGTAGAATACAAGTTTCCAACTCCCCACAGTTGCAGTGTATTGGGCACAGAAAGCCTTGCACCCTAGCTCTGGGTTTGTGTTTGTAAATTTAGGCAAGAGAATAGACTTGTCATTGATATCATTAAGAGAGATCTGAGAACTGAGCAAGGCACAGAAGCTTGTGAGAGACTTGAATTCAATTTGATAAGAGGTTTTGGATTGCACTCTAACCTGAGAATGAGAGAGCAGTGTCTGAAGAACATCATCTCAAGTTTTTGAGGTATTTGCAATGCACAGTGCTACAGGTGGCAGAGGTTCAAACTATTTGGCTTGATTAGTGTGTGCTTTTTGGTTATTTCTGCAGGTTGGCAGAGGTTCAAACCCTTTGGGTCTGTCAGATGGTGTTTATTGTGTTTAGTGTCTCTGAATCACATAGGTTTGAATCCTGTAAGTCTATGATCAGTTTGGAAGCTTGTGTACAGAGATCTGAGCTCTTTGGCACTTGTGGACATGTTTGTAATTGGTTTCTGCTTAGAGCATGAAGCTTTAAGTCATGTATTGTGTGTGTTAGGAATTTTGATTTGATCTGAGCTGTGCCTGAAACCTTTTTGAGAGTTGTGGGATTGTTTTGATGTATTGTATTGAGCTACAGTACCTTTGCCTTGAGGCCTGGCAACATCTGTTGCCACCTCTTGTTTTGAATGAAAAGCTTTGAGACTTAGAGAGATCCAGAACTGTTGTGTGTGTGCTATTGCTAATTGCACACAGTAGATTCATTGGAGAAGATAATTATATTTTCTGTTACTACTTTTATCACATTATAATCCCCCCATGAACTTGTTACGATTTTTCCATTTCTTTTCCCTTTTTACCCCTATTTATGCTTAGTCATAGCACGAGACCATGGGAAGGGCTTAGTAAGCACAACTACGCCGCCTAGATACAACGACGCTCGACGACGCACAATTACCCTTTTATGTACGACAACGATGCTCAAGGACAATGGGCACCATGGACACAGGACGACACAATAAGTAGTCGTAATATTAGCACTACCTGTACAGTATTTAAGACCGATCGCTCTCGCTGGTATATCCCAGCTTCGAGCTAAAGTTTATATTCACACCATTCTACTCTCGAGCCACTACGTGGCCTTGTGACACACCGAACAAGAACAACATCATAAGTGGATTCGCGTGATCCCTCGAAGTGCGAAGGGACACGTCGTCTATCACATGTTGTCAGATCACGTGTCGCTTGGGCTTAACAATTAGCTCAAAGCTTTCACCTTCCCTTTCTCAAGCCCAATTGTGCTGAGAAACCGAATGCCGCCAGTAACAACCACAGACCTAAACCACGACTTCTTTGAGTTGATAGCTTCCATCATCGGAACATTACTCGGCCTCTTAGCCATCATCACCCTTTGCCGCGGACGACAATCAGTAGCAGCTTGGATAGTCAGGCACTATCAAGCGTTCCAGCACATCCAACAAATACTACGCAACGTAACCCCGGACCTCTCTTTCCATGACATCCCCCCCTCCGCCAGAACGTCCTTCTTCCCGCAAGGGGGACCCGTACCAGAAACCGGGAATAGCAACCCGGATTCGGGGAGCCTTCATGAGGAAGAAGGACCCCGATGCCCCATTCGACGAAACAGTGGAGACCGCCACCCTACTCTCACAGGGTTCCAGAACCCGTGGACGACGAACATCGCTCAGGAGCCCACCGAGGTCTCCAACTACGTCACTCCGGCCGTCTCCCCCGAGCATTCCGCCTCCCCAGTTCCCTCAGGGGTTGGAAACCGCGCTCGGGACTCCCTTGATGCCGCTCGGATGGCTACGGGACCCCGCGAAAGTCCCAACTCCCCCCGGAACCCCCCCGAGACCCCCACCGAGCCAAACTCCGGCTCCAGCCCATCCGTCAGCAGGCTGGGGGTCGACAACCCGCAAGGAAGGGATATCCATCCCGACTATGACAACGTGGACATCGCCATCTCCGCGGCAGGGGACCCATATCGACACCTCCACGTGGGGAGTGAGCCCGAAACTGGAACCGCCAGCAAAAGGAGAAGGGCCGCCATGAGAAGAATTATACAAAGGATATTCCCGGAGTGGGACCTCAACGTCCTCTTCGACTACGATGAAGCAGTCAGACAGCAGCAGCAGAACCAAGAGCGAGAGGAGGACATTAGGTGAACTCAGGAAGAGCTCGCTGATTATGTCCGAGAGGAAGCCCGAGAGCAGTACGAAGCTGCAGAGTACGACCGACAAGGACGAGCACAGAGAAGGAGAGAGGAGATCGAGAGAATGGGGTCAGCCTCCCCTAGGGAGTATGAGCTCCATACCGATTCTGGATCTGTTATGATTTTTCCTTTCTTTCTACGTTTTCACCCCTATTTATGCTTAGTCATAGCACAAGACCATGGGAAAAGGCTTAGTAAGCACAACTGAGCCGCCTAGATACAACAACGCTCGACGACGCACAATTACCTTGTTATGTACAACAACGATGCCCAAGGGCAACGGGCACCATAGACACAGAACGACACAATAGGTAGTTATATTCTTAGCGATACCTGTATAGTATTTAAGGCCGACAGCTCTCGCTGGTATACCCCAGCTTCGAGCTAAAGTTTATACACACCATTCTACCTCGAGTCTATAATCTGACCTTGAGTCACACCGACCGAAGACATATATAGTGAACTCAGGTGATTCCTCGAAGTGCGAAGGAACACCTGTTTATCACGTGTTTTCGCTCACATGACGCTTGGGCTTAACAATTAGCTCGAAGCTTTCACCTTCTCTTTCTCAAGCCCAATTGTGCTGAGAAACCGAATGCCGCCAGTAACAACCGCCGACCTCAATCACGACTTCTTTGAGCTAATCGCTTCCATCATTGGAACTTTGCTCGGACTTCTCGCCATCATCACCCTCTGCCGCGGACGACAATCAGTAGCAGCTTGGATAGTCAGGCACTACCAAGCATTCCAGCAGATTCAACGAATTCTACGAAACGTAACCCCCGATCTCCCTTTCCATGACATCCCCCCCTCCGTCAGAACGTCCTTCTTCCCGCAAGGGGGACCCATATCAGAAGCCGGGAATAGCAACCCGGATCAGAGGAGCCTTCACGAGGAGGAAGGACCAGAACACCCCCGACGACACGTCGGAGACCGCCACCCTGCTCTCACAGGGTTCCGGAACCCGTGGACGACGAACGTCGCTCAGGAGCCCGCCAAGGTCTCCAACTACGTCACTCCGGCAGGATCCCCTGAGCATCCCGCCTCCCCAATTCCCTCAGGGATTGGAAACCGTGCTAGGGACTCCCTTGATGCCGCTCGGATGGCTGCGAGACCCCGCCAAGGCCCCGACTCCCCCCAGAACCCCCCCGAGACTCCCACCGAGCCCAACTCCGGCTCCAGCCCGTCCGTCAGCAGGCTGGGGGTCGACAATCCGCGAGGAAGAGATATCCACCCAGACTACGACAATGCAGATATCGCCATCTCCGCGGCAGGCGACCCATTCCGACACCTCCACGTTGGAAGCGAGCCCGAGATTGAAACCGCCAGCGAGAGGGGAAGGGCCGCCACGAGGAGGATTATCCAGAGGATATTCCCGGGGTGGGACCTCAGTGTCCCCTTTAACTACGATGAAGCCGTCAGACAGCAGCAGCAGGACGAAGAGCGAGAACGAGAAGAAGCAATCAGGTGAACCCAGGAGGAGCTCGCCGACTACGTTCGGGAGGAAGCCCGAGAGCGGTATGAAGCCGCAGAGTACGACCGACAAGGACGAGCACAGAGAAGGAGGGAGGAGGTCGAAAGGATGGGTTCAGCCTCCCCTAGGGAGTATGAGCTCCGCTCCGATGCCGGATCCCCGTTCAGAGAGCCCGACTCAGAAAGCGACCCATGGACAGGACCCGCCAGCATCGTTAGCTGGAACGAGGCAATCAGGCGAGGAAATGCCGGAAGACCCCGACCTGTCA